TAGCTATGTGACTCTGGGCAAGTCACTTAACCCCATTGTCTTGCCAAAAAAAAAGTTTTCTCATTTGATCCTCACAACAACCTTAAAAGTTTGGTGCTATTATTGCCCCTGTTTTAGTATGTGTTGAAATTGCATGTTGCTAGGGTCCCCTGACCACCTCACCAGTTACCATAATAAGTAGGCATATAAGTAGCCAGTATAAGGTAACAATAAATAGAAAATAAGAACTAAGAGTGTAAAGGGGAACATGGAAGCTACTTGCCAAAACTGCCTTCTAAATTAAATTAAGGCCATATCCAGAAACAATGTGCTAAATTAGAGGAAGCCAGCTAGGCCCCAATAAATGGCACTCAGCTAAGCTCCAGACATGTGCAGTAAAACCAGAAAAATGGTATACTAATAAGGGATCCCCAAGGCGCCTTATTAAAGTGTGATTAATGCATTGCTCCCTGCTTCCTGCCTATGTGATCTTTCCCACAGAGTATCCAAAGAACTGGGCTTGTTCTCCCTGACCCAACCAGGAACCCCTTTGTGATCTTTTTCTTTAAGGCATAAACAAGGAATGCAGTCTGGGACTTAATTTGATCCACAGGTATACATCGCAGTGGGTGTGCATGGCTCCGTGAATTCAAGGGCAGACAAAGAAAACCCGTGAGTCCCCTTACCTCTTCTGTGATAGAGACCTCCCCTCATGGTTGGGCTTAGTAGAACAAGTAAATTTGTAGTATTTATACTTTTCAGAGTTATTAAAACTTAAAAATACACTAACTCTGTATGTGTCTCATTTATCCTCTTGAGGCCTTTGCCTCTCTGTCAGGAGGTGGGTAGAAGGATTTAGCACTGGTCCTCTGGAATTGTAGCTAGTCTTTTTATTTGTCAAAATTCTTAAAACTTTCAAAATTGTTTGTCTTTATAATGTTGTTATTGTACAAATTATTCTCCTGGTTCTGCCCACTTCACTCTGGATCAGTTCATATAAGTCTTCACAGTTTTCTCTGAAACCATCCGTTTCATCACTTCTTATGGAATTTAATACAATTCAACAAAAATTTATTAAATTCCCATTGTGCATCAGACATTTCGCTAGCCTCTGGTGTTACTAAGAAAAAAATGAAACAGCTTATGTCCTCAATAGGCTTATAATCTTATAACATTAATTGTATTTATTGCATCAAACCCCAGAAAAGTATGGTCTCCTAAATGAGATTTTTAATCACTGAACAAAGTTTGGTTTAACTGTCTACAAGAGAAAAGCTAGTAGATAAAGATTGCTTGTTGTCCTGGATATGATATTCAGGTTCAAATATTCAGCTCATAGAGCTGGCCCATCTCAGACAGGCCTTGTGAACTGACAATGAGCTGGGCCCAGGAATTCAAGCCAATTATATTTGTTAACCTGATAATGTTTCTTAATGACCCTCAATCTTTTCCCCAAAACAAAAGCCCATTATTTTAATATTTGTATTCTTATAGAGATGTATGGCTCTAGATTATGGACTATCATAGTCTCTAAAGAATTGGTGTTGTGGGTCATATTAAAGGTGATTGAGAGGCACAGTTGGGGATGAATAGTAGGCAACATGTTGCCAATGAAGAATTGTACAAGCAATGCAAAAAAAATTAGAGAGTAATGACTGGAAAATAAATTGGACTACTCATGTAGCCAGAGTGAGAGATAACTAATGGATAGCATGAATGCTCCATTGGTATCCATGCAATGGCAAGACAGGTAAAGGAAGGCTCCAGTGTGTTGGGTAGACCCTCTTTAAAGGAATTAGAAATGTAATTGACTTTTCCCTTCCCACATTCAAAAAGGATGAGATGAAGTGGATATAGGAATATGCTGCTAAATGTTTAACTGGTCCTCTGGTTAATGCATACAGGTCACACTATTAAGTTCAACCTGTGTTATTAATATTTTCCTCTTAAATCTAGTCAATGAACAAAACAATAAATCAAGCTCTGAATTGTCATATTTTCTGATTTCCAAGGTGTAAATGCTCACACTAAAAATTTAACACTAGGTTCTTGGGAGTCAGTTCTAACTGGCTCCCACACAAAAAAACCCTAGGATGCATGGATTCTGATCTGCACTCCAGCAGGGTGTACTCATAGAGCCAAATGAAATATCAAGATACAAGACATGTTTACCAAACCCTATTTTTCTTTTGAAGTTATCAGGTAACGTTGCTGACCAAACAATCTACTTTCTGCTGAGATAATGTCTGTAGCATAATGTCTGGAAGTTTATATTTTTCCATCCTCATTTCAGCAAAGGGGAATTTCCTAAAGTGTTTTTCTTATGAGGAGCCAACATTCATTGAGCTTCCAGGGGCATCTCAGAAACTTGCCATTGTTGTTCCATCATTTTTCAGTCATGTCTGACTCTGTATCACCATTTGGGGTTTTCTTGCCAGATACAGTGGAGTAGTTTGCCAATTCCTTCTTCAGCTCATTTTACAGATGAGGAAACTGAAAAAGGGTTAGGTGACTTATCCATAATAAGTATCTGAGGCCAGATTTGAACTCAGGAAGATGAGTTTTCCTGACTCCAGGCCCAGTACTCTATCCACTGTGCTACCTAGCCGCCCAACTTGCCACTAGTGTTCTGCATGGTTTTCATATAAGACAATTGAACACATAAGAGGAGCTGTTGTGATTTTTTGTCTTTTAATGAAGCTATCAGGCTAGTTTGCTGACGGCAAAACTGGTGCTTTGTTGATGAGAATTGCTATTTAAAGGGGTCAAAGCTCTTATAATTAATGTTAAGCCTACTTTCAGCAAGACAATATTCTAAACATTTTTTTGTACCACCATTCTATTTTTCCACATTGTACCATTTGATTTCTCTACTCAGCCCTGACTAAATGGAGAAATATTTAAGGAAATTCCAAATAATTAGAATTTTTAGCTCTAACATCAGAGAAGTAGAACTAAAAACCCCAAACAAATCTGGCAGAGGGAGTTTATTACCTCTTTTGTTTTCCTCTGTCTTACAAATTTGTAGCTAAATTCTCCAAAGGCCACATGTTGTTAACATAACTTTGGGATTAAAAGACAATCATAACAACTGTAGCAAAAGTAATGCTAATAATTTACATTTACATAGCAATTTCAAATTTCACAAAGCACTTTCATCACTATGTATTTGTGATGGCATAGATTATCTCTGTTTTACAGGTGATAATAGCTAGTATTTATGTAGTACTTTCAGGTTTGCTGAGGTTCTATTTAATCCCATTTTACAAATAAAGAAACTGACATAGACAGCAATTAAGAGACTTGCCTAGGTCCCATAGTTAACATGTATTTGAGGGCAGATTTGAACTCAGATCTTCCCAACTCCAGGTCTAGCTATCTATCCACTGACCACCTACCTGCCTCAGAGGAGCAAACTGAGATTTGGAGGGTTAAATCACATGTCTGTCACGTGGTAAAGCATCATTGTCTGCTCACGGATGACCAGAAAATTAAGTGGGCCAGTCATACATCAATAATGAGAGACAACATATGGAATGCCAAAGAAGTACACTGATTTCCCTCCCCAGTATTATAGAAAGGCTTCCAGTCCATGGGATAGACTCTGTATGGAGTATTTCTGAGACAACATTGACCACAAAAATGACACAGGATTAGAAGACTTGGAGTATTGGTAGAAGGATGAAATTGAAACTCTACTAAATCAACAAATATAGGTGGTCTCAGTATGTCTTTCAATAGGTTTCATTGTTTTAGGTTTTGTGCGTATCGCATATTTGTATTTGAAATACATTTTTTTTCCCACAATATTTTGAATGGAGTTTATTGGCTCCTTCCCAGATATATGTGTTTATTTGCTTATGAAGTATAGGTACACATCTTATACATTTGTTTGTATTACAAATTATTGTATATAGATTTTGTATATGGTTGTATATCTATATAAATCTGGGGACCCTGGGATATGGTTTCCAACTGATGACTATTCTACATGTGTGATCTTGGGCAAATTGCTTAATCAGGACCTCAGTTTTTACTCATCTATCAAAAGAGGGTATTAGATTAGATGGCCTCCAAAGTCCCTTTCTGCCTTAGATATATGATTCTATGATCTTACCAGTTTTAGGAATGAAGTAATTTTTGTGAATGAGTTGGGATGATGTCCTCCAAGGAAGGTCCTATGAGGTAATGAGAATAGGTTCTCAGAGGTTTAAGGTCCTAGGGAAGTCATAACATAAGTATTAGTATTTGTCCCCTTCCCACCCTCTACATCCTAGCCAAACTAGTCTTTTTAATCTTTTGCCTTGGAATGATGGGTAGAGAAGAAATTCCCCATACTGTTTACATAAGCAGTGGCTACTTAGTAGTTCCATCCCTGCCCATTTACCAAAGGTGTCACTTGATAGTCTTCCAAAATAGAAGTTATGTTTTCCTATTATGAAAAGATGTGTAAGGACAAATGGTGATTCTTTATATTTGACCATATGGGCTTCTTACTGGAGCTCTTTGTGTCTTTTCCTGTAGTATGATGCAAAAAGCATCTCAGATTGTAAGCTCCTTGAGGGCAGGGACTGTCTTTCTTTTCCTTTTTTCTATACCCAAAGCTTAGGGCAGTGCCTAGGCACATGGTAAGTACTTAATAAATGTTATTGAATTGAAGTGAAAGATGGTGAGAGCTGCCCATCCTTCTCATGGTACATGCAGCCCTGCTTGTCCTAGAACAGGAGTTCTTAACCTATGGTTCATGGTTAAGTATGTGGATAGATTTGAAGGGATCCATGAACTTGGATGGAAAAAAATACATCTTTATTTTCACTAACTTCTAACCCAAATTTAGTATTTTCTTCAATTATTTTCAAACAGTATTCTGAGGAGTCCATACGTTTCACCAGTTTGCCAAAGGGACCATGATACAAGGTTAAGAATTATGCTTTTTACATGTGTTAGAATATGGCTGCTTGTTCCAGAATGACCTACGATTGTCAATGCATTCCAAAGCCATTGTCTAATGGGAAGCCCAGGCTCTGTCTGTCTGGAGGTTATTTTCACTAGGAGGATGGATGGGGGAAAACATCTTGGCTAGACCATACTTACCAGTAAGTATTCTGCTCCACCTGTGTTGTGGTTGGCCTGTATAACCCCAGAGCAAGAGTGGAGCCTGGGGTGACTGTTTTCCAGGAGCTCTGGAATTAGCATATGCTTCTTTCTCATGACTGCTTGCTGCTGAATCTGTTAAATATAGTATATGGGTTTGTGTTATCTAGTTCACTGTCAGAATTTCCTTTGTCAGAGAGGAAGTGTGGTAGAGCAGAAAGAGTACTAATCCTGAAGTCAGAGGTTCTGGATTTACCTACTACCTCTGATTATACTCTCTGTGTTACCGTAGGCAAGTCATTTACCTCCCAGGTAGTTTTTTTTTTCTGTAAAATGAGGCAGATGAACAAGGTAGCCTCTATGATCCCTTCCAGGTTGGAATCTATAATCCTGTGACCCTATAATCTTAAATTCCTGTCACATTATCCCAATTAAAGATTCAAGAAGAGACAATGGAGAGAAAAGACTTTCTTCCTATTTATAAGCCAGAGCAGGGACTGATTCAATACTGCAAACAGAAGTCCAAATATATAAAGCTGTTGTGTGTAAATTTCAGGATATTTGAGTCATAGCTGACAACCCCAGATGCTGTATAATGGTAATACATATAAATCATAATGAAGAGTTCTACAAAAATAGTTAACGACAAACTGGTGATCATATCAGAGATAGCTACATTTTATGATGGGTCTATTAAAACTGCTAGGCAGACATTAATTTGAGTTCCAGACATTCACTTCAGTTCACATGGGTATATAACTACTTACAGCAATGCAATTTTTCACAATGCCTGTGTATTTTACATGATATCAGAAGGATGGATTTTTATGTAAACCAATGTGGCTATATTGCAGCCAGCACACATAACATAACTCAAACTGGCTTCTCCTGAAACTATTCATTCAGGGAACAAGTAATAAGAATATTTGAAAACACTGGATATATTGTTTGGCAAGGCAAGATAAGGGATAAATCTTTTAACACACCTAGGGATTTAATGTATTTCTCCCTCAGCATTCATCTTTCAACTGGGTTTGGTTTTCCTTGCCAGCTGTAATCAAAGTTAATTGAAGAAATGATCTCAGAATCACAGAATTTTAGGGCTGGAATGGAAATTAAAGGGCCTCAAATTCAGGGGTACTTAACCGGAAATTCATAGGCAGATTTTTTTTGGGGAGGAATCTGTCAATTTGAATAGCAAAAACTACATCTTTATTTTAATTTAATTAGTTTCCTTTGTAATCCTATGTATTTTATTTTATGCATTTAAGAACACTATTCTGATAAGGGATTCATAGACATTACTTAAAAACAAAAGGTTCTATGACAGAAAAAAAATTCAGAACCCTTGTACCAATTCAACTGAATTAAAATAGGATGATATCATAGATTTTGAATTGGAAGGGATTGCTTAAGCCATTTAATCCAAATCCTATCCAACAGCATTTTATTGTTAATAGGTTTTATTGATGCTTTCTGTATTTAAATCATACTCATTTCTGTTCCATCCCTTCCCACCCCATAGACTAAGAAAAATAATTAGATACAATATCCAATAACATGACTGTCCCAGCCAATGTATTTGACTTTTTTCCCTTTGAAGTCAATCACCTCTCTGCTGAAAGAGAACTGTACTTCATAATCTGCTCTCTGGGACCTTCATTGTTCTTTCCATGGCTCAGAGTTAGACTTCCTTTGAGTAATGTTTTTATTTGTATTGTATTAGTTTAGTCAAGTGTATATATTATCCTCTTGGTTTTCCTATTTTTTTTGTTCTGTATGAGTGTGTACAAATCTCCGTTTTTCTCCAAATTCTTTACATTCCTCATTTCTTACTATCTAATAACATCCTATTACTTTCATATATCATTGTTTTCCTTAGCTGTGCCTGAACAAATGGATATCCACTTTGTTTCCAGTCGTCTGCTCCTACAGAGTGTTGCTATGACCATTTCAGTATATATTGAACTTTTGTTCAAAAACTTCAGAGTTAATATTAGTGATTTGGAGCATGTTTTCCTGTTTCCATTTATAATTTGCAATTCTTCTTTAGAAAGCTGTTTGTTTATATCCTTTGAACACTTATCTGTCATCTAACTCCATCTTATAGATGAAGAATCTTGGGCCCAAAGAGCATAAATGATTTATTCAGGTTCACTCAGGTAATGTGGAAGATCCTGGATTTGAAACCAAATCTGATTCCAAATCTAGCATTCATAGTATAACGATAATGAAATTGAGTCCCTCTTCCCCAAAATTTTGACTTGCTTAAGTTTTCAGCTTTTTTCTTGATAGCCAAGACAAGAACCTACATCACCTAATACATAGTTTTCATAAAATCATGCTGCCACTATGAAGCAGATGAGTTTCAAAACATAAATTTAGAGAGTGTAAAAAAAAAAGAACCAAATGGATCAGCATGGGGCCTCTGAGTTGAGACAAAAATGAACCACAAAGTATGCCAGATCTTCAGTCCTGCCAGGCAGGACTGATATAAACCAGTGATTAGAGGTCATTAACAGAGTCTGAGGGCAAGAAGCCTTCTGGGGAAAAACAGCATGGTCAAATTTGTGATCTAGGACAGTAAACAAAATATCTTGCTGGGTCAACAAGATTCAATGGATGACGAAATACAAGGTTTAGGCAGGGGTCCAACTCCACTATGGAGCTTGTCTTGGTATTGAAGGAACTCTAGATTTTCTCCTTCTTCCATCCTCCAGTGCCTAGGTACCTATCTCCTGTTTCAGAAGTTTAAATATTGGGGGCAGTCTTCCATCCCCATTCCTATGCCCTCTTCCATGGGCAGGCGTGGGTAGGGTGGTGCCAAGGTGTTGGAACCTAAGGTAGCCTGAAGGAAGAGGATATGCTCGCCTCTGACTTCCTCAGAGCCTGTTAGAAGAGTAGATGTTACTGAGGAACCCTATTTGATGGAGGAGTCTGGAGTATTAATAGTCTTAGTAGAGTCATAGGGCGTTGGACTGAATCTTGGCCCTGCCACTTAGGCACCTAGGTGAAGCAATATAGTTCACCTCATACCTAAAAATAATCCTTTCTAAAACATACATAACAAGTGGCCATCCAATCTTTTCTGGAAGTCTTCCAATCAGTGTGAGACTGCTGCTTCTCACAGTTTAGTTGTTCAGTCATTTTCAGTTGTGTCCAACTCTCAGTGAGCCTGTTTGGGGTTTTCTTGGCAGATATTGGAGTGGTTTGCCATTTTCATCTCCACGTCATTTTACAGAAAAGGAAACTGAGGCAAAGAGGGTTACATGACTTGCCTAGGGTGACACAGCTAGAAAGTGTCTGAAGCCAGATTTGAACTCAGGAAGAGGAATCATCCTTAGTCCTGGCTCAGAACTCTAACTATTGTACTACCTAGCTTCCAATGTAACCCATTTTATTTCTGGATAGTTTTAAATGCTGATAAAATTTACCCTTATAGGAAGCCAAAATTTGTCTTTTTGCTACATGTGTTTAATTTTCCTAGGTCTGCCCTTTGTTGTACACGTAGAAAAAATCTGTTCTATCTTCCACATAACAGTCCTTTCAACTACTTCAAGATGTCTATGATAGTTTCACCAAGTCTTCTCTTGTATAGACAAACATACCCAATGCATGCCTCCTCACTTGGGAAGATGATTTTTTTGAACCCAAGTGTAAGACTTATATTTACTTTACTTTTTTTACATTTCCTTCTTTAAAATTTTAAATTATCATTTTACCTTAATGTTCTAGTCTTTGAAGAGCTTTTTGAATCCTGAACTGTAATTTAGTATGTTAACATCCTTCCCAACTTTATGTATCTGCAAATTTCATAAGCTTGCCATTTTTGCCTTGATCCAAGACATTAATAAGAATGCTAGAGAGCACAGGTACTTGAAGTGCTTTACTAGAGATAACCCAGGTTGATTTCAAAACTTCAATGGATCTGTGATCTCCCTGATGTGAGTATTTTCTCTAATAATACATATCACATTCTTCTAGTCCTGTCTATTCTATTTTTAGCAGCCTTTTCTTAATTCATGGGCACCCATTTTGTTTTTAGTTCTTTGCTACCACAGTGTGGGGTCCATGACTCTTACAAGAGTAAGCTAGATTTAGGTGAACGATGTGGTCTTGGTCCTGTTCTCCCATCAATTTGTTGTAAAGAATCCATTTAGAAAACTGGAGAATCTTCCTCACAATTTTCTGGAATCTTCTCTCATAATTTAAGGTATATATCACATGATCCTAGATTTCTTCCCCTCTATTTCAATTTCCAAAATGGACTGATCATTTCTTGGGTTATAGTTTCAAGTTCCTCACCATCTTAGTCATCCTCTTCCAGAGATAGTTAAATTTATCAAATGTTCCTCTTCCCAAAAAAGTAGTACCCAGAACTAAAACAAAAAAATCACAAAATACTATTATTAGAAAGATCTCAAAGCTTATGTAATCCAACCCATATCTGAATAACAACCCCCTTTACAAAAATCTGTCTCAAGTGGTTAGTCAGTCTTTACTAGATGATCTCATGTGACCTACTTTCTCACACAGTCCATTCCACTTTTGTACAATACTGATTGATAGGAAGTTTTTCCTTATATTTATTTTACTGCTCCACAACTTCCATCAACTCTTCCCAGATTTGCCCTCTGGGAGTAAACAGAACAATCTAATCACATTTCTCCCATATTTCCTTGTTGTCTATCTGAGCTTCTTGTGAATAGGAATTGTTTTGTTTGTTATATTTATGTCTCTAGCACCTAGTACAGTTTCTGGTACATAGTAGTTACTTGATAAATGCTTGTTGCTCCCACTTAACTCTTCACGTACTTAAAGACAATGATATATACCCATGAAGATTTTTCTTCTCCAGGCTAAATGTTCCTAGTCCTTTTAATTAGCCACCATCATAGTACAGCCTCTAATTCTCTCATCATCATGGTCAATTTCCTTTGGATATGTTTCAGTTTACCTTTGCCCTTCCTGGAAAGTGGTACCCTGAATGAAACACATTACT